CGCAGGGACGCCGTCTCCCAGCGCGCTGCTCCACGCGGCGGCGCCAGGCCTCCGGCACTCCTCTTAACAACCCTGCTGGGCGGTCATTATAGTCACGTTTTACAGGGCCACCTGAGGCTTGGAGAGGTCAAATAACTTGCCCAAAGCCCACAATGAGGAAGCGACACAGCCAGGACGCCTCCCCCCAACTCTAACTTCCACAATTCTTCAAGCCGCTTCCTCTGGAAAGCCCTCCCTGATTGCGCCTGTCTTATCCCCTGGCATGGATGCTGCATTCACTATACTCACGCCATGCAGGTCTCTGTTTCTGTTCCTCGGCTATTCCAAGCTTGTTCCTGCTCCTGTCTCTACGCCTGTTCCCCTGCTGAGCTGGCTCTTTGCCACATAATGTCCTCAAGAGGGTTTTGTGGGCACCCTCGCTGGAGCAGCTGTCCAGTCTCATTTCCTTCCAAGCATCTTAATTCTCTCCTGATTGTCTTCATTAACTGCCTCCCCGTCCAGTCTCCCCACTCTATTATAGAATTCTAGCGTCATGAGGACAGAGCCAAGAGAGCATCTTGAGGCTGACTCAGAGCCTGGCACAGATTGTAGGCACCCAGTTATTACAGGCACCCTAAGACTCATACCTCGTGACAGCACCGCTGGGCTGGAATGAGATTGGGTCCCATTCTCCTCCTTGCTCCTGTCCTAAAAACACAGGGAGATTGGGGAAGAAACCACCTTGTGATCCTCTGGGACTTCATCTGGGACTTTCCCAGCCTGGACTGCACCCAAATGTGCATAGCCTAAGTTTCAGTTTCTGTATTCGCCAGAGAGGCTGGGCAATGGCAGCCTGCGTAATCACGAATGACCACAGACACAATGAGCCGTGGGGAATCCAGCGGCTCCTCAAGGGCCTGCCAGAAAGTTACAGGTATCACTCACGCTCACATTCAATTGGCCACCGCTTCTAGCCTCCAGAGGGCAGGAAACTGCCACCCTACCATGTGCCAGGAAGGAGAAGTCATGGGACATGTGTGACCAGGCCTGATAACTACCCTCTGTAAGGTTCTTGTATCAGTTTGAACCCTGAGAGTGCACCAACAGACAACACGAGGCGGTGTGGAAAAACATGCTGTTTTAATGAGCACCTGGGTGCAGGTGGGCTGAGGCCTAAAATGGCATCAGCCCCAAGTGAGGACAGGGCAAAGGTTTTATAGTCTCCTGTAAACAGGAAGAACCCTAGTCTGGCATAACTGATACGTTGTACCCGGATGGCCTCTTTCTCCATCTTCATGGGTACGTGTCTTCCAGCCAGGGTAGGTATCTTCTGGCCGGCTCTTATCCTGCTTCTGCTATCTTGCTGGCACAAGTAGCCTTGTGCCTTGGGCCTAAGAAGGGAGGAGTTATTCATCTCCTTAAGGTTTCAGGCCCCGGGAAGAATCTTAAACCCTCTATTTTTCTTTTTCTCCCTTTTGAGACTTGGAGAATTCTGCATTTTCTTCTCTTGAGTTTTGGACCCATATCTAAGTTTCTGTGGGATTTTGTTGTATTTGTGAAATAACCGAAGGTATCTATTTCACCTCTCTCCATTTGAGAACTGAGGCAGTGGCTAATTCACTGCAGTATCCACTACACACAGGACAGAGCGTGGCATCTGCAACGTTAAATGAAAAGTAGCTTAATAGGACAGATCTGACTCTCAGGTTCTCCATCGCCCTACATCAGGCTCAGGGGTGGCCATGGCTGACAGTAGGAGATGCTGCTACAGAACTGGGCTCCCTGATAGCCATGGGGATGACAGCAATCTCCAAATAACAGAAGCCAGATGGTAGTGCTTAGGCGTGAGAAGCAAAGTGGGTGCAACTGTCATATGACCATCAAGATCAAGCTCAATATATCACTTGGATAGACATCCTGTGTAGTAAACAAAATGCCCGCACTGGTTCCTTGGTCTATGCGGTAAGAGTGATAGTAGTAAAAGTCAAGTGAAAGCCTGTGAGACCCCACCATCACCACCACCCACCCCAGGCAAGAGAGCAAGCACATAAACAACATCACACACCAGAGAAAATGGTGGAGATTGGTGCCGCCCTTGAAGACCAAAGACGTGTGGGAGGGTTTCCCCGACCATGAACCTATTTAATTCATCAGTCTGACCTTATAAAAATAAACAGAATGGCAATGGACTGTTGCAGATTCAGCCAAGTGGTAGCCCTGACCACAGGTGCCGTGCAGGTGTCATTGCTAGCACAGACAGATCAGCACAGCCTCAGGGTATAGCCTTCCATCTGATCACCATACTTTTTCATCCCTATCAAGGACCATTTGCATTCACAGGAAGGGCCAACAGTACACACATATGGTCTTGTCCCAGGCCAATGGTACCGTTCCCATCCTTTGTCATCACAGAGTCTGAAGGGGACTGGGCCATCTGAACGTCTTGCAGAACACTGCACTGGTTCACGGTGTCAATGACAATGTGCTAATCACGATAGATGAGCAGGTGGTGACAAGTACATGGAAAACTTGATGAGACATATGTGCTCCAACGGGCAGAAGATTAAACCCTATGAAGAATTAGGGGCTTGCCACATCAGTGAGATTTGTAGGGGTCTGGTGGTCTGGGGCACACCAGAACATCCCCCCGCACACTCCATCCCAGAGGAGCAAGCACAATGCTTAGAGGCCTCTTTGGGTTCTGGAGGTAGAAGATTCCACACCTGGGAATGCTGCTCTGACCCACATATCTCGGGGTCACATGACATCAAAGGCTGTCCCTCAGGCTATGGGACCCACAGCTCCCATGATACTAGAGGCATACCCGGTGGGAAGACATGCTGTGTGAAGCTTACAGCAAGCTCTGGTGGGAAAACCACAAAGTATACCCCCTAGGGTTCTGGAGCAAGACCAGGCCATCTATAGTAGAGAACCAGACACCATTCACAAAGCAGCGCTGCCAGGCTACTGGACCCTGGTAGAGATGACTGGGGGACATCAAGTGACCATGAGGCCAGAGCTCAGAGCTGCCCCTCGTGAACTGGGTTCTGTCAGGCCCTCTAAGATGTAAATTCAGGTGGGTAGGCCTAGCAGCAATCCACTGTGAGACTAAGCAATCCATTGTAGATCCACGTCACCTACGACTGCCACAGCAGCTCCTCTGCCTCAGTTCACACCCACGCCCATGGGCAGCTGGCTCATTACATGAGCTGAGCTGGTTCATTACATGGGTCAGATGTGGTACCTGGATGTGCACCGGTTGCATGGAGCCCTTGAGGATGAAAGCCGCAGGCTACAGATGGTGGAACCAGAGAGGGGAGGAGACTTGTCCTCAGCGATGTCCTGAAGCAGATGCCCCAGCAATGGATGCCTAGTGATGTGGGAAGAGCAAACCCTAAGGTGATGTGTCCTGGAGCAAGTCCAGCATGACTGTTGGCCGGGATCCCAGCTCCTCACTCCCCAAGCCTGTCCCAGGCTGCCCGAGTGTCCTCAAGACAGGGATGCTGCCTTTCCTCAGAGTGAGCAAAGCTGCAGTCTTTTCGTAACTGAATCTCCAAAGTAACATCCAACCACATTTGTCCTATGCTGTTGGGAGGAGACCACACAAGCGTGTGAATACCAGAAGGCGAGGGCCATAATAGAGGCTGCTTTCTCACCCCACCCACCTTTCCATCTCTCCTATCCTGCCCCCCTCCACCAGTGTTTAAACATGCCCAAGAACCTCTCATCTGAGAAAAAGCCACATCCCACTCCAGTGCCTGTCCCAGCTCTCACAGTCCATTCCACACCTGGGAATGCCTCTCTGACCCATACATCTCTGAGTGACATAAAAGCGCTCCAGCCTCCAACTAGTAACTCACATTCACCTTTCTCACTTCCCTATACCCTACCTGTCAACACACTTCAATGTGGCGTCTGACTCTAGACACACCGGCCATCCCAGATCTGCTATTGCCAGGGCCACTAACAGCTCCTAGTCCTCATCAGATGACCTCTGGGCAGCCAGCTGACCCCATCCACCATCTCGACTGCTGTCTTCAGTGGCCTTTGGAAGGGCTCCTGATAATCCCCAGCCCTGCTAGGATCTCCTCTCCTTGAGTGTGGGCCGGACATCAGGACTCACTTCTACCTAACAGAATATGGCAAAAGTAATGGAATATCACTTCCAAAACACGGCATCTGTCTTGAATGGCCTCTCTCTCTTGTTTGCTTGCTCTGAAAGAAACCAGCTGCCAGGTTGTAAGCTGCCCTGTGGAGAGGCCCCCACCCAAGAGCCAGTGGGAAGCTAAGTCTTCAGTCCAACAGCCTATGAGGACCTGAATCCTATGTGAAGAAAATTGGAAGGGGATCCTCCTCAAGATGAGCCTTCAGATGAGACCGCAGCCCTGGCCCATACCTTGACTGCAGCCTTGAAAGACCTGGAAGAAAAGGCACCCAGCGGCATCATGCCCAGATCCCTGACCCACAGACACTGAGATAATGTGTGCTAATTACTTCAAGCTGCTAAATCCCAGGATAATTTTTTTTTTTTTTTTTTTT